TATATATACTTATAATTAAGCTCACATAAATCCATTCACATATTTTGGTTTAAAACTTAAACACTGCAGGAAAGTAAAGCATCTGTCCGTTTTGCCAACTTTTCCTCGACTTGTCAGTATGATGGTCTCACCTGGAGGCCTCCTGCTGTCTGTAGATGTCGATGATGTTCTCAACCAGCAGGTTCCTCTGCAGGCCGTAGACTCCATGGCGGTCCAGGACCACCTCGTGGTGGCAGGACGGGCAGCGGAAGCGGCCGCTGCTGGAAGTGATGCTGGAGGGGCTGCGAGGCTGAGACCACAGAGGGTTGGCTGTCTGCATACGGGGGGTACTTCAAGTTTGAATTCAATTAAAGAAAGTACATCTGGCTACATAGTCCACACATCACATCTGAGATGAATTATCTGGTTTATAAAAGTAAATAGGATTGTTTTGTGGAACAAATTACAGTTTGTTGTGAAAACTATTCAGACAATGTAATTGTGCCTGACAAACATATGGTCAAAAGTTACAGTTTTGTCACATTTAAGAGAAAAAATGTGAAAACCAAACAAAAAGTTACCTGGTTTACACACACTGAGTACCCATGTGTATATAAATTCATCAGTCTTGAAAAAAAATCATCAATTTCTTCACAAAACTAAAAACGACGTTTATTCAGAAGGCAGGCATTATAATAAAAATATAATTTCTTGGCATCGTTTTTCAAATTTTAAGTATTTGTAACCCATCACATCGAAATGAGGATTAAGTCCAAAATATGGAGAAATAATCAATTGTAGTGTTTTAACTAAAATGTTAAAAATTGTATTTTGTCAAAATATAATGAATAAATGCCTAATGGATGTATCATATGAATGAACTGTCTGAAATATAATCAGAAAACAAAATTATGAAGCACTTTTTTGAGCAGTAGCAACAAAAAACTTGATTTTGAGGAAAAACGCCTTAAATTTGACATTTTTCCTTTGAGCTAGCAAAGTTTTGTTCTTTTAGCTGGGAAATTTAAATATTTAAATATAATTTGAGGTTTACTCTTTATAAGGACATCAAAAATTCCTCGTTAAAATTACATACAGCGGGTAAAATAAGTATTGAACACTTCACCATTTTTCTCAGTAAATATATTACTAGAG